TGCCCACTTGAGATATGCCAGTATATTTCCGTATTGATTTAAAATCAGAGTCGTTTTCTGCTGCTCCAGGCTGAGGTATTTCTTCTCACACAATGTTTTTGTTCTTTCCTAAAGACTGATTTGTAATAATGTTCACATTATTCTTTTTTCATTGTTTCAAAAGGTAAGGTTGTGAATTCTCAACCCACATTCTCACCCTTTTCACTTCCATTTTCAATCATTTTCTTTGGCTCACGCTCACTTTTTTACATCTTCCTTTGAGCACCTCTGGAGTTTTGCTTTATTTTTTCTTTCAGTGTAAGCCTGGGCTATATTTTTGACTTTTTTCCTCAGCCAGTGTTTGGAGTATGTTACAGAGCCCCTTTCTTAGGATGCTTCTCCCTTTGAAACTGGATCAGCAAATTCATATGGTTTTACTCGTTAGCAGCAGATGTTAAGGGAATGTAGGTTAAGCTTTAGATTCAAACTAGTCTCTGCAGGACTACAAAACGCTATGATAAACAGAAAGATGGAAGTGCTAACCAACAAGGGCATCCCATATTTAACATGCATTCTGTTCTGGAAGAGATACACTTGACTACATTTGCCACGGTAGTCCAAAAAAACCCCAAAAAAAAAACCAGAGGGGGAAAAAATCAATTAAAAATTAAAATAAAATTGTGGTAGATTGCTAGTGTTTAGACAAAAAAATATTAACCCCCTGATGGCTAAAACCTAGAGACATGCAGATACTACGGTAATGGGGGTCCTTCAAGAAAACACTGCAAATAAAAATATTTTCAGTATTGCTTCCATGAACATTTCTTCTGGCAAGTTTGTTTGCTTGAATATTTGTGGCAAACACACACTCCAGATGCATCTGAAGAAGTGAGGTTTTTACCCACAAAAGCTTATGCTCAAATAAATCTGTTAGTCTTTAAGGTGCCACCGGACTCCTTGTTGTTTTTACACACACCAGAGGCACTAGCCAGAATTGGTTTTTAAAAATGCAAAAAGACCAAAAAAAATTGTCACCATTTTTCACTGAGGTTTTGACAGGTTTTTTCATTGACATTTCAAATAGCAAAAATGACTATTTGTGGAATCTCCAGTAATTGCTCAGGTCTGCTTAGTACCTTCCAGAAGACACGCAAAACGTTGCCAGATCAGAGCCTTAGGCCAGCTTTGAAAAATTCTTTCACTTACTAGCATGGAATAAGCAAGTTTTGGGGAAGAGACTAGTTTTCCAGTGCCATAATGAATGCAGTAAGAATGAATTTGTTGATGCTGGCACCTGGAAGTAATTTCTTATTTCACTGTGTCAGCTCGGCACGTGCTGCACCTTGAGAGGCATTCGATACCTAACAGGATTTGAACCACTTAAGACATAGCGAGCATGCGCTTTTTGATTTGTCCACTTGATCGGACATCAGTGATAAGATGGCATTGTTTTTTGCTCAGAACAGATTTGATCTATGCAAGGAAGCAATAGAGAAGGAGCAGCAGGCGTCGTGGAATGTTAGGGTGCAAGAACAGCCAGGATAGAAACAGAAGTGTCCATGGTTGCACTGCACGCAGTACAAGCCACAGAGAAGCCGGAGAGGCAGACTCTAAAATACCTATTTGCCACAAAGCAGAGCTTCATGGCTTCCCCTTCAATTGGTCACTTCAGCAAAGTACTTAAACCCATGCCCGACTTTGAGCAGTCCCGTTGAAGTCAATTCTTCATGTTAGGCACATGAATATATTCTTCACTGAATCAGTCCGTGGCATCATAAAAGGAGATTAGGGGTCGGGTGGGAGAGACGGGGTAAGGGTAGCCTGTATTTTTCCGACTACACAGCTACTCTCTCCAAAATCTCAGAGTGGCAGGGAGTTACTAAAAAGGCATTGTAGCTTAAGTCGCGGGAAGGATTCTGTTGCCCCCCAAGCCCATTAAAATGATATGTACTAGACCTGTTTGAATGGGTTTTTCATGGTCATCCAAAATTTAGCCCCAAATTAATAAATTATGACTTTTTTCCATTGAGGGTAAAACAATATAAATTGTTCCGAAGTGCAGCACAAAACCTCTGCCCCTTTCCTTTCAGAATTATCTCCAGTATTTGTTCAAAAGAAGAGATATCAAAGTAACAGAGCCTCGATACATGCTTTGCGTGTTTTCAGAATTATGTGAAAAGGAGCCTTTTATCGTGCTGACAAAAGGGTATTTTTATAAATAAAAGAACATGATAGCACAGTTTAATAATATACTGTGATGTCTGAATACATATGTTTTTCACTCAGCATGATTCTTTGTGAGTAAAGTGCAATGCAATTGTATCTTGATCGAAATTCATGGAGTACCTTACTTAACCCAGGGCATATATTACCAAGTAATTGCTTTGTAAATTTATGGCAATTGTTTCTTAGGAGCTTCTTTAGCATTTCCAGCTTTTCTATGGTACATGCAATATAAACACCGTGTACTATCTGCAAAGCATAAACAACCATGGAATTACTATGCAAAAAGACTGCAATTATTATTTAATCACACTTAATTATATGGGTAATGTACCTTGAGTAAGTGTTGCTGAAACTGGAAAAGAAGATACTTCACTGCAGTTACAAAAATGCTATGAAATCTTTAAACAGAATATTGTATGTTGTGTAAAATCATACGCACTGTTCTCCTCAGATGTTTCTTTGTAATTTTGCCGATCAGATTCATAAGCAAGCTGGGATATCCCCCATTTCTCATTTTTTAAAAATGAGAAATGGGCCTATGTTAGGAAGTTGGGTATGGAGCCAAATCAAAGTATGCACGAAGTCTGATGCTCTTCATTTCAGGAGCTTTGGTACTGGACTAAAAATGTGTAATTAACTCTGGACCAAATTGTCAAAGGGCCTCTTAGAGTGTACACAACACATGTAGAGCACCAAGAATTAATTTAGTATGTTCTGAGTATCATCACCACGGAGCATACTGTACGGTACAAATAAAAAGTACACAGAGGAAGACATGCTTTAAGGTCCTACGAATGAGGGGCTCAATCCTGCACATTGCTGAGTGTCGTCTGTAAGGAGCTGCACTCTCTCTCTCAGATTCCAAGGGGGCTCAGAACCTTGCAGAATCAGACCCTCCATTTCACAGCAGTTGAGCTCTAAACAAACATGTTTATTTTCATCCACAAGGGCCTATTTGTCTGGGCAAATGCAACTGTTCTGTGGACATACAGGTATGTTAAACAATACTGTGGATGTGTGTTCAGAGGTTTTATGAAAATGTAGCCTGAAATGACTTATAGAATTGCCTTTTTTCACTGATCACTGGACAGCATATTTGACAGTTTAGGACAAACCCTAGTACTTTCTTTCTTATATTAGTTTCTCTTCCATAATATGCTAGCTAAGCTCTGAAGCAAATTGTTACCCAAACATGTTAACAATAATTTAGTATAAAAGAGAAGCAATACAGAGAAATGCTATGGGAGGCATCAAACTGAATGCTTTAATGCAAACCCAAGGAGATGCCCTGAATAAATTATGACTAACACTCATCTAATTTAATGGCAATATATGACAACAACAAATTTGATGATGCTAACACCTACCTAGCTTTATGTGCTTGAACCTGAGTGACAAATGTTAAGTAGTGTAAATATAGTTACTCCTTTTCGTCTGTTTTGGGACTGGAATGCCAGAGTCATTTGGATTATGGAGTCGTTCAAGGCCTTTCCTTCTTCCCTGTTACCTGAGGAGGTTTCCTTCATCCAACCTAAAGAACAGAGCTGGTCGAAATGTTCTCACCAAAACATTTTTCCAACAAAAAAGTAGCTTTTTGACCAAAACAAAAACTTGTGCAGAAAATTTTCATTTTGTTCAACATTTTCTGGTTATCTGATGAAAAAAACAGAAATCAAACATTTCCAAGGATTTTTTTTTCCAGTTTTCAGTTAGCGGTTTGGTTTCCAAAAACTGAAAAAATTAACAAAAATGATTAAACAAAACAATGTTTTTTGATTTTCCCTTTCCATTAAAAAAAAAAAAAATCTCGGGGATGGAGGTGAGAGGAAATTTCCAACCTGTCCTACAAAAATAGAATTAACATTTTTTGTCTGGCTGTACTCAGCCAGCACTTCCACATCTTCAACCTACCTCTCTTGGTCTTTTCTCTTTCCCTCTAACCTCAGTTGGCACCTCCAGGACATCAGCTTGCCTTTGTGTGCCTTCTACCAGACAACTCCTCCTCCTCTGCTCAAGTTCAGTAAGATCCCCTTGAAATGACCTTCTGCCTTTCTCTTCTCCCCTGCTCCAGCTCACCTTTAGGGCACTTCCTAACAGGATGAAGTAAGCCCCCGTGAAGTAAGGAGAACAGATACACACTTTTAAATTGATACCTAGTATTCTATGATTCAAGAGAGATTTTCTCCGCTAATTATTTTTATTTAAATCCTCCTTGATATTATGCATCATGTTTTCTTTTATCTTAGACCATTATTTACCTTACACACATTTCATGCCTGTGGCGAATGCTAAACAACTGTGAATCCCTCTCCTTTCTCCTCCTCATAGACATTCATTCCATCTCTCTTACTGATGTTCTACCTCCTCAAGATACCTGATCTCTGTCCCTTTACTGATGCCTCATTGACTATGGAGAAAAAGGCAAGCAAAGAGGCTTTTTGAGGGTGGCACAAAAAGAAGAGTCCGAGTGAGAGATCTAAGAAATGCTGAGGAAGACTCAGGCCAGAGATGACAGGGTGCTGCTAAAAGCAAGCTGGCTCTGCGGGAAAGGTGAAGGCACTGACAGACTGATTAGCATACAGGGGAGAAACACTGAAAGACAGAGAGGGTTATTGAGGAAAGTAAGTGTAAAATGAATAAAAAAGGGAGAGAAATCCCACCTCTGGTAAAATGAAAAATCCACAGTAAGAGAGAACAGAGCTGAAGGCAATTACTAGGGATACGGCTAGCTGCCTGGCATCTCATGTGCTGGAAACTAACGATGAACAATAGGAATGAGGCTAAATCCTGCTCACCTGACATTTGTGAGCAGTCCCTCTGATCTCAACCCAACAGAGGCTGGGGATTCCCGGGGAAGGGATCCTCGAGGCCTGTGAATGCAGGAGCCATTCCACGTCAGCTCAGTCCATCGCTTGTCAGTAGGACCTAGACTGCAGTTAGTTCTACCCCTCTGAGGTTGCTAAGTAGCATCTGTGGAGGTGACTCACTGAGAGTTAACACAGCTCTGAGCTATATTAATTGCCTGGCAGATTTCACTGTGGAAATATGGTAGGCAAGCATGAGGCGGTGCTGTGGAATTCCCAAAATTATCTAATCTGCCTCTACACAGCTCTGACCCTGCCTCCAAAACTCTGTCGGGCCCTGTGAAGCTAGAGTGGAGAGGCATCAGGGGGAACATCCTTCCAGCGAGGGGATGCTGCTGCTGTGGACTAGTGAGACCAAGGAAATTAATGTGAACAAAATACTGGAGTTACAGCTACGATGTTATCTCCCTACAGAGGAGAAGTAGGGGAAGCTGCTGGAATCAACGGGCCTGAACCAAACCCCAGTGACATCAATGGGAATTTTTGCATTGGCATCAAAGGGCTTTGGATAAGACCCAGTAAGATCTGCTGGAATTGGGAGGAACACACAGTTAACCCTACTTTGTCACCATTACCATGCGTTGTCTCGTGTGCACCGGGGCTGCTAGGCTGAGCTCTGCACTTGGTCAGATGGATAATCATGATTATAAGAACAGCCTCTGCCTCTGTAAGTTGCTCTTGCTGGCAACTGACCACTTAAGGGGAAAATATTTCCCTTTTTTAAGAGGGAGAATTTTTTTTGCTCTTTTAAAACATTCAACCCTATATGGATTTTTATTGTATTATGTTATTAATTTTTATTATTATTATTAGCCATTAAACTATCCTGTTGCTGTGGGTATATGGAACAATAACTGATTCGTTTATTCCACAGGCTGTCTGGGGGTTTATAAATGTTTCACCACTGGAATAAACAGACAGGAATAAACTTACATTAGTTATTTAAAATAAAAGATTATTTGAACAGATTTGCCTTTTTTATCTGTGATGTCAATCATTTTAGAAAATGGCTTTATTACATCATCCGATCAGACTCTCCAGTTATCATTTCAAATACAGATAGCACATCCTTCTACTTACCAACTTTAAGTAAGAAGGATTCCAGAGTACACTTTTAGTTTATAAGACCTAAGCGCTCCAAGATCTACATATGCAGAATTAGAGATAACAAGATAGGATCTAGGCAAATACTCTGAGGTATGTTTTATAATTGTAAACCCTCATTCTGATTTCACACCGGTTTTACACGGCTTTATCTCCCCTGAGCCTGATCTTCCTTTCCCATCAGTAGCCTCTATAGAGTTGGTTTAAACTTACACCAGTATAGGTAGGATCAAAATTAGACCTATGCTCATTTATTTAGGGCTTGATTGATGGCCAGTTTAGCAGGGTCAGTTCAGTGGTTATTTTGAGGCACTTATACAGGCTTGCAGATTGCTAAAAGCAAATAGATTTTTTTTTTTGCTTGACTCCGGCTTTTTGCTCCCCCCCCGCCTTATTACTCTAAAAATACATGTACATTCAAAGAATAACAAAGTAGTATGGGATAGTCTTGGGGAAAAGACCCATGCAACTGTAACCATAAGACTATCACACCAAAAATAATATAGTGGGTATTACATGTTTGTGCTGAAGATTAAAAATAGGATAAGGATTACATTGTCAGTGCTTTATACAGAGTGTGAAATATGTTGATGTACTTTACTGTATTTCAGTATTGACTGACTGTTCCTCTTCTTCTCTAGTGGCTGAAATGGCTATAAATGAGAAAAAGCAGAAAGGCTCAAAGAAAAAAAAATACTGAATATCTCTAAGTAGTGCAGGTTATCACAATGATTCACGCACTAATATTATCCATTGGGAAAAGAGCTATACAAATTGTATTACTCAGAGCAAGACCTTCCTAAATGATTGAGGCATAAAAGGATCTTAAATAAACCACCATCTGCCAACCCTTCTCCCCGCTACATAGGGGGCATTCCAGGGTGGGCTGGGGGTGGGAGGTGGGGTATTTCAGGGGAGGCAGAACTGGGCCTGGGGCTGGTGAGCAATGCATTCCAGCAATCCTGGCTGCCAAAGCAACATCTTGGGAGTTATCCACTGCTGAAAGTTAGAGCAGCCTAGAGTCTGCTCTAACTTGTGTTTGGGCCTAGCAATCCCCAGGGTCAATTGGGGAGGAAAGGTGGCCGAAAACAGCCTAAAGCCAACCATTTTACTTCCAGAAACTCCAAGCACTAAGCGCTGCTCTAGCATATCTGGGATCTGGCCATCAGTGTTTTCACATGACCATTCTGGTAAACAGAGAGCATAGGATTAAAACATCTTTTTTCAAGACACGATTGGGATCCTGTTATCCCAGTTAGATTATGTAAAGTTCTGGAAGTTCAGTAATTTAATTGTTCAGTATTCAAGCTTTTTGGACAAAACTTTGAAAAAGTGAACCAACTGAAAAAAACAATAATTGTTTTACCTCCCTGACATTCCTCCCCCTCTTCCCACCATACACATTTTGGCGCAATTCCAGACCTGTTCTTGCAGTGACTACTCAGCCTGATCTTTGAAATGGTCTAGAAAAATACAAAAACCGTGACATTAAAAAGGGGGAGAAAATTATCAAACAGCTGTCAGTGTCTTATTAAATTGTGGAAGGGATGTTTAGGTTGCATGTTCTACTATGCAAAGATGATTCCAGCTGTGTTCTGAGGTACAGCCCTGCAACTCCTACTGCAGGCCCATCAAGAGGCACAGAAATCTGAGCGTCAACTGGGCCTGCTATTGCTATCTCTACAAAGGAAGAGTCTGCAAAGGCTAGTCTGCAAAGACAACTGCCATCAAGTAAAACAGACTGCCTGCCTTCATTTACTGAATCCCTAGCTGTCAAGATTTCAGGCTTCTTGCTAAGGACTTTGAAAAATTCGGCTATATTCCAAATGGACTGGGAAATCTGTTAAAAATTTGAGATCTATCTCCTTTCCACTATCTCAACAATTGAAACTCCCATTATCTTCACATCTGGAGTAAGATTCGGATCTCACAATACATTTAGAATACCACCATGTAGACAGAAGTAAACTGAGATGAGAATCTGGCCCCAACCCAAGCTTTCACTGGTTAATTTTCAGGGCAGACAGATCACTTCCCCCTCTGCTCATTGATAAAGCAACAGCTTCACATTTAGAGATAGTTAAATCATCTTGTAGAACAGCTTAAATCATGTGCTTGTGGTAGGATAATGAAATAGAAAAGTTATCCATCAAAATATCCTGAACAAATCATGAAGATGTAATCTCTTTCTGAATAGAAATACAGTGGAGCAGTGACAAATGTTGTGTTCTGTGTTACTGGGAGATAACATGATCACATTCCATAGGGTCTGAATGAGTTTCTACTTTTGATACGGTACATTAATGAGCATATCAAATAATAGAGACGGGGGATATATTGCATATCCCAATTTTAAAAGAATTAAGTGTTTTCAGTTTGGACAATAAAGCAAATGGATACTGAGGACATAAATTATCTTATTATAAGCACTTGACAGAATGTCCAGTACGAGCCATATGGAAAGATAATACACTCTGGCTAATGCAGCTCAGTATGAGCTGTAACTTCCAGTTGGTAAATGTTTCTAGTGCAAGAATATTGATAGGTTTGGAAACTGGATAATGGCACCTGCTAGGACTTGTGTTCAACGCCACCGGACTAGCTGAACGTCAGAAACTGGGGATAAGTGCAGAACAATGTGTAAAAAAATACACACAAAAATAGTGAGTCAGGCTGCAGAAAAACTATCATAACCAGCAAAACACAAAAATAGTGAGTCAGGCTGCAGAAAAACTAACATCATAACCAGCAAAACACTACAGAGACAAAGAGTGAAATTGATTTGTCAAAGAAAGGTCTGCTTCGTAAAAAATCTTACAACACTGTTAGGGATAAACTGCGCTTGATTTCCCAGGATAGCTATCAATTTGTCAGAAAGTCAGAGACATGAAAGAGTAACTTTCATCACGTTTATTGCAGTTGTGTTTTAGAAAACTGCACTGGTGTGTAGGATGCATTCATCTCATAGCAAAATCTTCAATCCCAAGGTGACAGCCAATATAGAAAATCCTTCTTAATCAACTCTATTCATCTGTTTCTCATCCACCTACACCTCTACTAGATGGCTGCATAGCAACACTATTTAACTACAATTTCTCTTTAAACATGAACATTTCCAGCTACGATAAGAGTTGTGCCTCTTTTTCCCAGTTCGACATTTCCTTCCCAGCCGCCTTCTAAAACTCTGCCCCAAATATGTTCAGCCTCACCCCAGCACACACACACCTATGCATAGATCCTGATCACACCATCTGGAAAATCATCTGTGGGGGGGGTGGATTTCTGGAAAAATGGGCTAATTTTTTTGGTCATGGTGAGCTGAGGGTTGTTGGGGGAACTTGAGGCAAAGTGGCATTTCCCTGTCCCTCCAACTGCAGAGAAGCCCATAGTATGGCCCAGATTTTCTCTTGGACCAATCTCTGCTGCACACAGGAGAGGGAAGGGCATAGCAGAAGACAGTCAGTTAAATCTCTAATTCTCTTGGATAATTTGCACTGAGGCAAGCCTAAAACGAGGGTTAGACAGCCAAGGGCTGTTAGTCACACCCATTGGCTACTGCCCTACGTGCCAGAGCACAGTCTTTAACTAAATAAAAATGGAGAAGGAAAAAAGGTCAAATGCTACATTCTGAGGAAGCAGTGTGGTCTACTGGGCACTGGAGTCCAGAGACATGGGCTCTATTCCCAGCTCCATCCGCAACTTGCTGTCTGACCTGGTGCAAGTCAATTTGCCAGTCTTTTCCCTTCTCACCTTTTGTCTGGCCAGCCTACTTAGATTGCAAGCACTTCAGCACAGGAGCTGTCTGTTGCTGTGTGTTTGTACAGCCCCTAGCACAATGAAGCCTCAGTCTCAGGTGGAGCATCTAATAATGATGGTTACTAATATTACCATGGAAGAACAGCAGACAGATTCTTCCTTCCTTTGTACCGTGAACGGGAAAGCAGGAGCAGCAACAAGACAAGACACTCTGCCCAATCCAGTCATTGGAATATAGGACTGAAAAATGGATGTCAAT